GTTACAGAGGTGGACACACACACACATCTTCATGCTAGACCATTCCAAAGGCAACGAAGTGCCACGCCCCAGTGGAACCGGGACGAACAGGCTTGTGTGGGGTGGCCTCTTGGGAGAAAGTGGGGACGGACTCTGGTCCCTTCGGTCCTTTTGATTGGAAAAAGACAGGGAGATCGGGGAGAGGGAAGAGGATACACCAGAAGGTTGCAGGGTTCGTGCCCACCAAATCTCACCTTATATACAGTGTATAAACAGATATATAATATATATATATATGCTAGCTCCCCACAAAAAATATCTGTTGATATATATATATATTGTGTAGACTATTTGTGAGTGTGCATGCGTTGCTCTCCTTCTATTTCCACGATTCTGTTTGTGGATCTACTACCTGGCCACTCCTGTTTTCTCCTACCGGTCCCAGTGGGTAGATGCCAGGCCTTCCACCATGTTTGTGAACCAAGGAGAGGACCGAGAAGATCATCGGATGGAGCTTGTTCCTAGTCTACCCCGGGTCCTGAGAAAGATCGTGGAACCCAGATTGACACTGCTCAATTTGAGGCCGCTTGGTGTGGGATGAATGTTCACAACCTCCAAATCGCAAATGGATCGCAAACTTACTTACAGCAACCAAAAGGATTCAACATGGATACCTGATCAGGAGCTGATCCAGGATCCACATATTCCACATGTATATAGACCACTGACTTAAGCGTTCTTCACCTCAACACTTTCACCAGCCATTGGAGAAGAGTTCTGCCTTACTACCCCAACCAAAAAGGATCGGATGGGTGAGATTGGAGCATCCCATCCTGTTCGCCGTGTGGCATTATGGATTCACCCACTTAGATGGCTCGCAAGAGCAAACGTCAGTTGTGACTGCTCGATGGGTCAGAGGAACAAAAAATGTTGAACAAACTCATTAGCACTTTACGGGATGATTAGAGTTACAACTTGGTCAACAGTTAAAGAAAAATAGGTACGAGTGAAACGATGTCCTCCAGTTGTGTCTCGAACGCGCCCAGGAGCGGCTAAAGCAGGTACGTTGTCAGCACCACACCACCAGGCTCTTCGTTGGCCACTCCCTGGTGGTTGGTGGAGTGGCCCCCCTGCTGCTAAAGCTGTAGACGTTAAAACTCACATCCTAGCTAGAGTTACAGCTGAAGAGGAAACTAATTAAAGAAGGAGGCAAAGAACACAGTCTGCTAGAATCCCCTTTGAAGCAGGGCTTGGCGCACACACACGCACACGTGTATATATACATATATACTTATAGTTTTGTTAAGTTATATGTTTTAAAATTTGCATATATATATATATATATGTGAATATGTGGCCCATTACCAGTAACAGTCAGTAGAAGATGATCACTATGTTTGAGATGTCGGCCTGCTTGCCCAGGCCCAATCATCATCCACCTGCACATGATGAAGAAAGTTCAATATGAAAGCCGTTCAAACCAAGAACTCCATATTTTTCACGTTATGTTCAAGAAGAACACCGCCTATTTTTGGGTCGACTCTGTGGACTGGCTACCGGGATGGCACCCAGGTTTGACCGGGATCCCTTGGAGTCCTTTGACTTCGGCTCTGTGACCTTGCTGGGCGACGCCGCCCATCCCTTGCTGCCCTATGGCAGCCAAGGGGCCACCCAGGCCAGGCAGTGAGCAAGAATGAGATTCCAAGAGCGCCCAAGTGTTTCCAAGCTCTCTCCGAGAGGGTGGCGCAAGTGTCACGCCCCAAAAAGAAAAACGGTATGCAAGGCACACACACACACCCACCTGAGAACTTGTGAGAATACATACACGCTGACTCACAATCATGGAAATGGAAAACCACCTGTTTCTAGAGGAGAATAGTCATCCAAAGGGCAATGCCATCCGCTTCCATGTTAGTGAGTCGGAGTGTACACACTTGTGAACATTGGGGTCGCATTTGCTCCAATGGATTTGGACCCAAACATTTCACATCGTTTTTTTTTAAAGTACGGAATGAAGGAATGGATCCCAAAGAAGCTCTCTTGGAAGCTTATTCCCGCATTCTCTACTAAGCACCAGTGAGTTTTTCATGTTTAGCGCTGGGTTGGTCCTGGATTTCTGCGACGACCTGATTAGTCAAATCAGAAAAGAAATGGCTGGACACATCGATGCCCCTGAACGATTGGCGCTTCGATTGCCACGATAATTTTGTGTTTCATGTCTCATTGTTCTTTCGAAAGCCCTCTTTAGAAGAGTTGACTCTCTGTGGGCCTCCACGGCCCCTCTCTCATGCAATGCAACTCCCTTTCATAGGCAGGTGTGCTTTTTTAAACTACCTGAGTTCAATTCGATTCCACGGATTTGTTGGGGAAGAGGTTTGCAAGGACACCTGCCCCCCTACCCAATGGACATGTGTCGACCAGGCCAGATCCGCCTACACAGCCAGTCTGTTGGTTTTTGACAGATATATACCCTGCACTCCCTCTCGGAACAATCCACAGAACAACTGGCTGTGTGAGCTTGCGCTTAGCATATATCATCATATATCTTAGTATGACCATTGGTCAGCAGCTCCGGCTCCACGCGGGCTCCCAAAACTCTAGCGACGACGCGAGAAAACCAAGATATTGATGGTGTTTCCTAGGTGGCCAAGTATATGTACCCAGATATGTACCCACTTTTGGCACAGTTCCCGCGAATGGGCGTCTTCTTTCCTCGCGGCGGAGCCGGAGTCGTGTAGGCCATCATGGATGCAGAGGCACTTGGTGTGAGCTACCAGAATGCCATGGCCAAAGGCACAGGCGGAACTCTTTTCCAGGGCACCTGTCGTTGGAGGAAGTTCTGCAAATGGCAACGACTAGGTTCTTAGTTCTTAGAAGCGTGGGCCTGAAAGGAAGGATAAGATTCAGGTAGAATCTTGATGAATAACCCCCACCATTTGGATCCTAATCAAGATTTTACACTAGTAGTCTACCAAAAAATGTTCACCTGCCAAGGATTTGTTGGCGTTTAAGGCTCAAGTGCTGCTGTGTGTTTGCCATTGTTTTTTTTGTCAGAGAGTAGGGCTTCAACTCCAGGTAGCAATCCAAAACCTGCTGTTTTCGCGTATCTTGTAGCTAAAGTAGTAGACAAACAATTGATCATCATCATCATCATCATCATCATCATCATCATCATCATCATCAT